TAAAAATAATAATTAGAGAATATTTATGTTGAAATTGGATATCAGGCATTTGAAAGGCAGTAACAGACTATAACAATTGTTCGTAACTGTTTGTAATAAATTTTTTTAAAGTAATTAATTATAATGTGTACATTGAGTTATTTTTTAAGGTATTTTCGTGGTATCAATAAACTGGGTTAATATTTTATAATCATAAAGTATCTTTAACCACATACAGTATTTCATAGCTTAATCCTGAACCAGTATTTTATACAAACATAAATTATCTTTAACCCCATATTTTCATGACACCTAAACTGGGCCAATACTTAATTCAGTGTCTCAGAGTCTTAAAAGTTTGCTGCCAAATATACAACTAAAGTAAGCTTCAACAGTTACGTACATTTTCAGTACACCCACTATATTGCTACCGTGGGTGTTCAATTTGTGTGCTTGCCAAGTCATCACTTTTGTTGATAAACTCCTTGCAGTGCCAATGTTTATGATGAACATTTTTTTAAATAGTCAAATAAGGATTTTAATTTTCCATTCTCATGCAAATTTTTAATTTATTGTTATTATCCTTATTTAAATATGTTAGTTAGTACCTATGAAGGGTCTTTGAATCAGATCCAGATAGTGAACCACATATCTATTTTTAAATCATTGTTACAATAATATATATTTTTTGTTTAAAATGAATATTGATTAAATGAAAAATTGCATTGATTTCCACTATATAATTAATTAAAAATCTTTATTAATCGATTACTAGATTGCTAATTGACTGCTGCATATTAGTAAACTATTATTTAGTGTATGAAATATATAGTAGTAGTTGGTCTCTATGTGGACTACAAAAATCAAAGACCTGAAACATTATTCAAAGAATAACTGATGAAGATTCAAATGAAAGTTGTTAGTTAGGATTTATTTTTCCTTAGTAATTCAATTTATGGAAAACAATGTAATACTCTCATAAATTTGATGATCATATAAAATTAGATGGGTAAAATGTGAGGAGGCATTTAAAAGTACTATAAGAATGCATGTGGTTTAGCAGCCAAGCTTTTGATTACCATCAAAGTTTGAGGGTTCAATTCTAAGAATAAACACATATTTATCTTTATTGCGGAACTTACTTTTAGTGGTCATCATATTTTTCATAATTTTGTTTATCGTTTTTATTTTGGTTTTATTGATGCAAATAACAGCGACTATCAAAATAATCATACTTGTTTTAAATGTTTTTAAATTGTTAACTTCCTTATGCTTTAAGGCATGAACTTACTCTGTGAATTGTACCATTTTAATTCCAAAAACAAACTCCCATGTCTGTAACAGATTCCCTGCCATACATGATTTAAAATACAGAATCCTGATGCCTTTTACCCGCCAAGTTTTCTGATGCGTTGATGTCAGCAAAATGAAACTGTGTTTACAGAAGACTTTTATCATTCAATCCAGCTACACCTGCATTTAGTACGATAAGGAAGCGATAATTGGAATGGTTCGATAATACTGAATAGACTTTTGAAACTTCATGGTTTTACTGTGAAATAAAAGGCTTATTTACTATAGAAGTTGATAAAACTTTAATTGTTACTTTTGGAAATATGAACTTCATTAACTTAAATTAAAAAAAATAATATAATATTATGAAATAGCTTTAAAAAAAATAATATATATACTGTGAGTAATTATTAATAATATGTAATTATTTTTTTTTTTTTTGTGGCATTGTTGTTATTAATTATTAAATTATTGTGCTACAGTGTAAACTTGAGATTTATAAAACAGATTTTTAACTCCCTAGATTAGCACAGCTTATTAATAGCTTCCTTTCAGCCATCATCAAAAAATCATGTTCATACAAAAAAGATATGTTCTTCATATTTTCACTTTACATGATAAAGCCTCAATGGATCGTCATGCGTCATCTGTTTCATCTGGTAAACTGGTCTTTACCACCTTCCTGTTAACCATGTCTCAACTATGACCTTTTATAAATTTTAAATTGCGCTGGGTTTTTTTTTGGGCTTGTGTATTCGCATATGTTAATGGTTTGCCAATATGAAATTCGCTTGTCAGTTAAACATTGTGGTTTTTCGTTGTTTATTTTCATTTAGCTAAATGCTGAAAATATAAAACGGTAGTACAGCAGTAGGCATAATTACCAGTGACATACAACTTGGCATGTGCAAATCTTTCAATGTAAACAGGAATGTATTGTAATGTAGTGTTTTTATGGTACAGTACCTATACTGTACAGTTGGCATTGAACACATAAAAATTAAGAAAAAAAAAGTTGTAGATTAAAGTTGTTTTGCATGACATTGTTTTCTAGCCAAAAAACACATATCTATAAATCTGAAACTGCCTGCCATTTATTACTTGAGAGTCAAAGCCTGCATGTTGTTGATTATGTTTAAGTTGCATTATTGTATATGAATTCTCTGATGTTCAGAGTTGATAGGCATCAGGACAAAATGATGGTCCAGTTTATCTCTACAATGTGTGTTTACATTGCGTGAGTGTATTCGTAGCCGTACGACATTCATTTGAACTTTCTTTAGAATGCTGCGTTGGCACACACCAAGTATTCCTTCAGGAGTGTCGATGACGTGAAGGAATTAGTCACATGATCAACTAAGATTTCATAGATGACGTCTGTTTTTCGTTTGCTGTTTAGACCTTGTTTCAGGAGCTTTATCTCCAAGGAGAGTAGAAAATGGATCATAATTATATATACCAAAATGAGTTACGGAAATAACTCTTTAAATAGCAGTGCATTTGATAAAACTCAGCTGGAAATGTTTATATTGCTGAAATCTAATATAGGAAAGTAATCATAATTGTGTGAAAATTTTTGCAGTCATGGAATCTAGTCTACTATAATATTTTGTTATATTATTTGTGACATACTGTAATAATGATTATTATTAAAAATGTGTCAGTCTAATATAGAGCATGTTCCCAAATATTCTTCAGTGTTTCATCATAATCATCATCATCACCACCATTGTCATCGTTCTTGTCATTAGTGCAGCATTATTATCATTGACATCCTCATGCACAACTTGAATTATTTTTTAAGCTTTATTTCGTGATTAAGATGCTTGCCTTCCAACCCCAGATTTCTGGGTTCAGATCCTGTCATTGCATTTTTTTATCATGACGAAAAAATAGCTCCATTTGATAAGCCTAATAAAGAGATTTGGTTTATAAAGCATCGATCCATCCTATATGTGGCAGCTTTAATTGTTGTTGATAGTGAAAGAAATAACAAAAATATAATTATTTACCTGGTACATTTATCTTTTTTAAAATATGTTTTTTATTACATTCAAAAAAACATGTTTTTAATTATCAAAAATGATCTTCTCTTTGAAAATATTTGAATATGAAATGTTAGATCAATATTGGTGGAAAGATGGATATCGGAACCTGTGTGTATTTTCCCAGTTGTCCCAGGTGCATTTGACATCAATTTGTTTTGGTTGCAACGTCACTCATGAATATTCATGATGAATGGTACCAGGAGCTGATTTGCAGATGGCTTAAGTTGCTTTCCCAGACATATCCAAGATGGCAAAATAATGAAAGTGAAACAATTTACTATCTGACATCATTTTCATCAAAATGACATAAAAACTGTGTTGGTTGTTCTATCGTTTTTATAATTTTTTTCACATTACAGTATGTATTATTGCGAGCAAATTTTTTGCTGAATTTTATCAATTTCTTTCCATGAACCAGGGGTGCTATATTTGATTTAAGCTCACCAATCTATCATAGATTTTATTTTTAAATGTCTTTTATTGATAATGTGATTATATTTTTAGATAGATTTAAATTTTGATTCTATATTCTCCCTCCACTGCACCAAAAGAAAATGAATTTACACGTATGACTATATGGTAACAATATAAAAT